AGCGCTCAATGACTCTCACAGACGTCGAAAACAATAAAACGAATTACGAAACAGTATTTTTAACTTGTTCCTGGTATAAAAATCCCATTGACCAGAGGTTAAAAGAGATAAAATGATAACATAAAATATCCTTGTCAATTCATTTTGTTGTTTTTTAACGTAGATGGAAAAATTCCGTCTAAAGAATGACGATTTTAATGAAAATAAGTGAAAAAATTAAAGTGTTATTAATCGCTCGTTATCATTTTCGCTGTTACTAACGCAAATATGTAATCTTAGACTTAATTTCCCTTCTTTTATTAGATATAAAAAATGAAAAAGTAATAAATTCGAGCTAAAAATTCGAGTCAAATATAAATGAAAGATGTTTTTTGAAGTTTAATGAATTTAACAGGATATAAACTTCGAAACAAATTTCATATTTCTACTTTGCTCAAATCAATAAAGTTCTTTATCAATATGCAAAATAAGGCACTGAAATACAAAAAGTACTGTATTATAAAAAATTAAATTTTTATATAATATAGGCTACATATGCCTACTGTATATAAAATCTTATTATATATAAACAACTCTTGTATTTTATTAAGTTATAGCTTAGTATTTTATGTACTTTCTGCTTCTGTCGGAGGAGAAATCAAAGGACCACCTCTTATCTTTGTAAATAAACAAAGAAAATAAATCATATAAGCACAGTAAAAAGATTCGAAAGTGACGAACACGCGTATATACAATATCTACGAGAGTTTTTACTCTTCGTCCACACCGCTAGTGGTACAGGGGTAATTCTTCACTTTCTAATTCGGAAATCCTAATATCGATTCTAGTAACTCCAATGGAAATAAGGACGAATTAAAAGAGATTTTTTACTTTATTTTTCAGAATTTATTTATTTATAATTAATCATTTTTACTTTCCCGGCTGTTATATATAACAGAGGGAAAGTATAGGCACCGGTCAAAAAATTACCCTCCCCAGATTTTTAAATTTATGGACTCAGGAAAATGCAAAAAATTCGAGCTTAATTTCTGTATGTATGAAGGTTAGTGTGTGTGTGTGTTAAGGCTGGTATACACGGTACGGAAATCCTTTGAGGATTAACCGTGATTTTTTTTTCTATCTATCCATTTTTAAATAAAAATAATTCTTTATACGTTGGGAGATATTTTAATAAGTTTTGTAAATTACTATGTTCGATCCAGCCAGTTATATCAGAGTTTTTTTCGTCTGTTAAGCACATCCTTTGAGGATTTCCTTACCGTGTATACCAGCCTTTACGGGGCACGATTTTGCTCACCCTCTTTGTCGAAATTTTTTAAAATTTTGCAGAAAGGTTTGTGTATTAGGGGGATTGATGCTATTAAATTTTGGTCGAGGGGAATGGGGTCGTGTGTATCTTTAGTAGAATCGGACTTAATGACGATTTTACTAGTTATTAGCGTTTACAATGTTTTACGAAACACATCTCTACCCTCAAAATTAAGCTTTTTGCCATTTTATTATAGTTAAAAAATATAAAAAAATTTAAAATAAAATATCGTAACAGATGCCGAGAAAGTTAAGCAACTCGTTGCTGGATTTTTTTTATATCAAGCGATCTTCATTGTTAAAACGGTAAGTGGCTTGCTTGCCGATGCCAAAAAATCTTTAATTATCGGTCTGTAATATAGATTGATTTCGTCTTTCCGTTTAATTGTGAAGAATTTTTAAATGAATTTTAAAAATTATACCAAAATGTTTTTAATTATTTACAAAAACTATTTCATTGTTTTCTCGTTGTATTATTATTATTAGATTCAAAGGTTTTGTATTTTATATATTTTGCAATAAGTAAAATTCAAATTTCACAAATTGATTTATTTTAAACGTTCCATCAATCACGTAATTAACTTTATTATTATTATTTTTTTCTGACTCAAGTGTTTCAATGCGAGTTTTTCTCGAAGATCTAAAAATACTTCGATGACTCAAAGTTCACGGATCTGTAAACCGAAGTTAAAAGTTAATCTTATTTTTAAAATAAAAGTTTAAAATGTCACATAAAATAATTTAACAAAATAAAATGATTTTTAAATTAACTTTCCAATAATATAGCAAATCAAAATACAGTCGAACCTCTGAACGACGGCCAGTGACAGAAATGTTATTTTTTATTCAAAAAAAAAGAGAAATTTTCTGAAAAAAATGGTCTCTGTTTACAGGGTGGCCGTTATTGAAGGTTCGGCTGTATTAAGGAATAAAAAATCTAGCTACGAGTTGTATAATTTTCCCGGCGAGAATTGAAATTGTGTGGTGCCTTCTGTTACGATATTTTATTATAAACGCTTTATTATTATTATTAATTATTATAAAATGATTTAAAAAAAGCTTAACTTTCGGGGTAGAGACGAATTTAATAAAAAATTGTAAATGCTAATAACCAGTAAAATCATTATTAAGTCCGATCCTACTGGAGATACGACACGTGACCCTCTCTATCTTTTCACTCCCCCATCTTTATCCACCAAAATTTAACAGCGTCAACTCCCCTAATACACGAACCTCTCTGCAAAATTTCAGAAATTTTCCACAAAAAGTACGGGAGTTATTAAACTTCAAAGAGGGTAAGCAAAATCGTGTTCACCACACACTAACATCCATACATAACGAAAAAGAGTCTTAATTTTTTGCATTTTTTTGACGTTTCAAGGTTTCTCGAGTCCAAAAATGTAAAAATATTTGTGGGAAGAAGTTAGATCCATCGTCATACTTTCCCTCTGTTATATATAACAGCCGAAAAAATAATAAACAGATTAAAAATTATTATTATTATTATTAGTAGTAGTATTAGTATTTTAATAACTCAATACATAGTATAAATTATTTATTATAACGCATTTTTCGAATAATACTGTCTTGAATTTTTCTAGATACTTCCTCTTTATCATTCCTCACCGTTCTATAGGAATTTACACGTTTATAAATTATTCAATTTGTTTTATGCACAATATTATTTAAGAACGTACAATGCATCCGTATACATTCATTAGAATTAACAATGTTTTATTGCTCTAACCTATTGTCTTCGATTGACTCGAGCGATCGATGACGCAAACAAGATGGTTTCCACGATTTTCTTGATGAATAAAAGCATTTTGATATAAGCAAAATCCAAAACGATTTGAAGGTGCAACAAGTGAAATAAAAGTTTTGTAGGTCGATGAATATGGAGAATGACTTTCCGTGGTCAAAGATCAGACAAGAAGAAACACTGAAGTACTATACAGATTAATACGTGACTAGCTATCGTCCGGTTCGATGACGTCGAGGGGGTCAAAGGTTATTCTGTTTGGCCGCACCTGGCATCAAAAGCGACCGACTATATTAAAAATCATTTAACTTTTTATTGTTCGAAGGAAACAGGTGCAAAGTTACAATAAACACTTCATATAACTACTAACTAGCATTAAATCCTGCAAAAAAAAATGTATTTTTTTTTTAAATCATAAAAGATCTGGCAATTAATTTTTATATTATAAAAATTAATTAAATTTATCCATTTAATTTTCATATTAACTTATTAATTAATATATAATTATTAACATAAATTAACAATTTTTTACATTATAAATTAAGTGATAATATGAGCAGATAGTTCAAAGTATGCATTTGTTTGGTTGTTTCAATGTTATAAAATGCAAGAAACTATCAAAATATTAATTTTAATTACATCATACATATAGCAGCATGAGTATTTTTATTAAAAATACTCATTAAATTTTATAAAATTCTCATTTCATTTCATGATTATTGAATTATTGGTCAGCACGCGTACTTAAATGCTTCAGGAAATAAATTTTCACTACTTTCACTTACATAAAAGGGATCTATATTATCGAGAACTTGTACATATTCATCACAAAAATTTTTAATTTTGAAGTAGACTTCTAACCTTGATCTTTCCACAATTACGAAATATAATACGTTTATCAACCTAAAGACAAATATACGGGGTGTAAACAAAAACATTGCATCAAGCTACATCTTGCTTCTGTTGCTATTAGCTAAACACAACGGCGCAGAAGTAATCAGTAACGGGCAGTTCGATAGCGTAGTCGACATGCATCCTTACCCCTTCTCATGGGCCAAATCTGTCACGATCCACTAACGATAGTGACACAGTTTAAATTATGGAGTCGTAGAGTATCTGAANATTATCTTTATTAAATGATTATTAAATACTTATCGATTCTCTACTTTAGTAATAATTTTGCACTTTCAAATTTTACTATTAAATCGAGAATTAAACTTAATTTTAAAGTCATAAAGGTCATTTTAAAAATGTAACAAGGTCTATTATTGATTTCGTCATGTTTTGAGAGTCGTTTTACTTGTTAAAACAGTTCTTTGACTTACTACATTCATACGTGTTTACATTAAATTAAATGTATTCACATTTTTTATTTAAATTATTCATTAAAATGTAAAAAAAATATTGTTATTTTAAGTGTAAAATCAAAATTTTACACAGATTTAATCACTTTATTACTAGATATTCATTTATTTATTATGCATAAGGCAAGAAAATGAAATTCCAAAAAATCAATTTTTAGTCACTTAGATTAATATTCCCGAAACCACGCTCCCCAGAAGAATATACAGGTCTAAATTAATTGCTATACTTCAATAATGTAAAAAAAAAGTCATTAAATTACATTAAATGGTAGATTTAAAGTGAAATAAATAGTCCAAAAATGGACCTAATATCCTTGTAAAAATGATGTAACCATTTCAAAATTCAATATATACATTTAATAAATATTCTACTCTATCATATTCAACTGTTCTGATTTGTAAAATTAAATACAGTATATTAAAAATTCAAATTAATGTATAATTATTACATTCTTCATTGGTAATAATTTCATATATAAATTTTCGCTTGTTTTTTTTAAATTAACACCGATTAATTAATTAAAAAAGTAAATTTTATACGCGAAATGTCCGGAGCTAAACATATTCTGTCAAAAGAGCAGTGTAATTCTTTCGTGTCTCTTAAAACCTTTCATCCGATAGTCACGTGGACAGCATGTGTCTGACACAACCAGGAGCACGAGGTGATCACATGATCAGAAGAAGTTGATTGGATAGAACGGGCGTGCCTTCGTTTCCACAGGCTGCCCGATTGGTTGTTTGAGAAAGTGTGTCTATGTGTTGTTTTATCCCTTGCTAGGGAACACATCCCAACAGCTGACTCGAGTGTGATCGGTGAATGGCTTTGTTCATTACATGTATAGAAAGTTTCAATTTTGACAATGCATAGTTTAACATTATCTCCGCCATCTTCTCCCCATCAAAATTTTTCTGTAAGTAAATTACTTTCAATCATTTATATCTAGAGTCAATATATGTATTATTTTTGACAATACATTCTATAAAAGAAAAAGTACAGTTTATAGTAAATAACATCTTTAAAAATTAATGATTAAATATTAAATTTGTTTTATTATTATTTTGATCATTCGTTTTTTAAGGAATAAGTTTTACTTTTTTATGTATTCATAATAGGAAATTCGTAATTTTATTTAAAAAAAATCAATATAAGTTAAGTGTTAGGTTGGATAAAAAGGAAGTTTGTTTTTAATATTTAAATTAAATTGTAATTTTAAACTCGGATGTAAAATATAAAAATTAAAATACTTAACTTCATAATTGACAACCTTTATTGTAAATAAAAAGTATTATTTGTTTTAAAATGTTTTATAGGAAGAAAAAATTAACTTGCAAAATATTCATTTGGGACAAGTAGATTTGGATGCGGTAGAAACTTTATTATCCTTTAGTAGACAGGCTGTGAATAATAATGGATTGAAATCAAATGAAAATGTGCCTACTCATTCTGAAGATGAATTGGACGAAATAGAAAGAAACAAAGAAAAAAACAATTCCGAATTAGAACGAGTAAGTTCGTTGCTCCTCTTAAATTAATATTAGGATCAATGTATTAAATAATTGTTATATAACATTAATTAATAATAGCGCATTTGCATGGTGTGAAATTCTATGGCAGCATTTAATATTGTTTACGGTTGATTTTCTTTTCTATAATTTCAGCTTCTTCTCAATCATACTCCACCCCCTACGCCTACGAAACATCTGACGTCAATGCCGGTTTCTGTTATAATGAAAGCACCGAGAAAATCAATAGTGCCACAGGGACCAGAGAAAAGTGAGGAAAAAATCGAAGACGGTAGAAATTCGGAAAATCTGAGTGAAAGTTTAAGCTTTGCTAACACAATAAGGGAACAGGCAAATTTCGTAATATCCTCAAGTACTCAAACGAGTGAGGTGATTAATAACAATCCGTCGACGGAGTCTGCAGTTTACGCAAACAAACCGATAACAATAGCTCCGAGACCCGCAACTATTATTCCACTGGTGCCTACTTTAGCCAATTTTTCCACTTCGAACAGTGTTAAATCTTCGTTAACGCCGGGTTCTACCTTTCTGTTTACTCCTAACTCGTTGGAGACGTTGTCGGCCACTACCGGTTCTTCGGTTGTTCAGTTATTTGTTACCAGGCCATCTCAAATTCACGAGATTTCTAATCAGGTATCCGCCACGTCATCATCTGTGATATTTGCAACCGAACTAAATTCTTGTGAAAGTTCTGCAAGTACCAGGAAGAGATCTTTCAGATGTACTTATCCCAACTGCCAGAAAACGTATTATAAAAATTCTCATCTCAAAGCACACCTTCGTAAACACACAGGTGAGAATGAATATTTAAAAAGAATTCAATTCTCGGCTTGTTTATGATAGCAAATATCTTATTTTGTATAATAAAATTACTCTCGAATTTAGTTTTTTATTTTCTTTACTTGCCGTTTAGGAGAAAAACCTTTCGTTTGTACGTGGGATAATTGCAACAGGAAATTTTCTAGATCGGACGAATTGTCACGTCATAAAAGAACTCATACGGGGGAAAAGAAATTTATCTGTTCAACATGCGAAAGGAAATTTATGAGAAGCGATCATCTAGCAAAGCACATTAAACGTCATGCAACTAATAAAAAAGATTTCCTTTGGAAAGCTTCTCTTCAGCCAAATAAACTGTTAGAACCAGTTAATATGCAACTTAAGGAAGACATTTCTTCTAAAAAACAATTCATTTTTGTAAAAACGTAAATTTTTTATTTAAAATTGAACGTTACATTAATTATTTATTATCCTTTCAACTCCATTGTGATTGAGCGTTACGAAACAAAGAATTTTGGTCCTCTCTACTTGAATGTTGAATATTTTGAAAAATTTGTAAATAATTTATTAGTGTCGATGTAAATATTCCCATTATCTTTATTAAATGATTATTAAATACTTATCGATTCTCTACTTTAGTAATAATTTTGCACTTTCAAATTTTACTATTAAATCGATAATTAAACTTAATTTTAAAGTCATAAAGGTCATTTTAAAAATGTAACAAGGTCTATTATTGATTTCGTCATGTTTTGAGAGTCGTTTTACTTGTTAAAACAGTTCTTTGACTTACTACATTCATACGTGTTTACATTAAATTAAATATAACTTGTTTACATTTTCAGTTTAGATATATTTCGAAATTGGTGTTAATTAATATAATTTTTTTTAAATTTATATGATTAAAATAAAACACATCTTAACACAAATTTAAAATATACTGTACACAAAATCCATACAGAACAATATTGCAAAATGTCTTCTGTATATGTAAACTGAACTTATAATACCAAATTGTTTTGATAACGTTGAATTATTTTAAAGGATTAAATTTCTACATTTAGAAATAATGATTTTGTAAATAAAATTAAGCTGCTCTTTAAATCAATAACAGTTTTATGTAAATAACGCTCTATTAATATACAGTGTTTTGTGTGACGAAGGCACAATTCAAGGAAGCAGCTTTACGATAAATTCTATAAAAAGACATTTTGAATATACAATAGATACATTTCAAATGACAAACTAAAAAATGAAAGAGTGTTTAATTAAACTGATATCGAGAAAGGCTCATTCTGTATACGGTATATTTAATTAATACATTTCATAATAAAAATCCTATCATTCGAAAGACTAAAGCAATAAATAAAACGTTAAAATAATATACTGTATTTGAAAAAGGCATGAAATAAAAATTATATATTTGTTTTTTTCATCTATAAATTTGTGTAATATGTATGGCATGCGATATCCAATTTTTAGAATGTTTTGTATTAAAAAAAAAAAATATGATTATTATAAAAATGGCATAGTATATTGCCAAAAATAGAAATATTCTAGTTATAAACGGGTGTTTACTTTGAGAAAAAATATTTCAAAACTAGTTATACAGAAGATAGGACAGCCCCAATAAGAAAGTTAAGAAGGCAACCTACTACTTTGGGGGATCCGGGATAGAATCTGGGCTGGTAGAAACCAGTGGCGTAGCGAGGGGGGTGCAAGGGAGTGTATCATGCAGAGGGGCTACCAAATGGTCTCCAAGGCAAACTATATGTGTTTCTGGAGGGGGAGGAAAGCGCCAATAAAGTGTCGTGCCCCGGGCGTCAGTTATATTAGCTACGCCACTGTATTCAGTCAGGGTCTCCTTATGAGCCCCTAGCGTCGTTTAACTGCGCTTAATAGTAATTAGGGGGCGCCCAAATGGTCTCCAAGACAAAGTATACGTGTTTCTGGAGGGGGAGGGGGCGCCAATAAAGTGTCGTGCTCCGGGCGCCAGTTATGTTCGCTACGCCACTGTAAGAAATCCAGAATTTTTAGGTGCAGATGGTTTGGAATGGGTCCCTCACTAATGGCATTTCATTGTGAGTTCGGCCAAACTCACAATGGGCTTGAAAAATGGGCCTCATCCCTCAATAGCCCCATTTGCAATATTTTTTCACTTTAGTTCCCACGGCAAAAGGAGTATAAATAAATAAAAAGAAGCTTGTTCAATGACGATTGGTATGCCCGTAATTAATCTTTATTTGAGAGACACTATTATATATAGAATATAGTTCCTTAATCTCAATTTTCCTGAAATGTGAGAAAAACGAACAATTATCCTGGGATGTGTTTACCCTAAATACAAAAACTACATTTGTGAGAGTCATAAGTGAAACAGAATTTTATCGAATAGTTTATCTTACAAATTCAAAAGTGCTAAGAAACTGATTTATTTTGTAAAGAACTTGAAAATATTTCAAAAAATTTTAAACAATGTCAGGAAATACTCGAAAACACTGACGACAGCTTATTTACAGAAATTCCACTTTCCTTCTAAACACCGTTTTGCTGTAGACAGAATGCATTAATGCCCCAAAATTAAGTTCCTATAGATTAAAAATTAATATTTTTCTTTAATCTTTGGACCATACCCAACCATAGTCGATACCTCGCCTTCTTTGGGGAACTCATCCCATTGTTTCTATTTCTGTATTTGTATATTTGGTTCTTAGAAGTTCTTAAAGTGGCCCCGATTGCAGGATGTAACAGAAGTCAATATTAAACTACCTGTTGTTGTTTGCTTCCATGAAGCACCTCATTAATTAAATTTCACATGCAAAATTCTGCACCAGTCTACAATAGTAGGTGTTCAAAATTTAGTCGAACTTCTGTAGTAAGTTATTCAAAGCTTTTTTGAATAATTTTTGAATGTGTTTACAGAAATTTTTTGCAGTATTTTCAAGTTCCTTAAGAATAATCAATCACTTTACTTTTATAATTTATTTTGTGTAAAGAGCGTAAAGTAAATGTGGCAATGGGAGTGATAAAAAAACCGCATGGGAGATGATACAGAACGAATTTTCTTGGTCGTTTCCTTGTCGGTCTGCTCGCAGCAAGACCTCATTCTTATTATAAACGTCTCTATCACTATACAAAAATCTTTTAAAATGTATTTAATAGTAGTTTGATAGATACCTGCATATAGTAGCGACGTGAACTCCGATAAGCTCCGGCTACCATCTGGAAGCTTCCAGTGACAAAATCGTAATGTCGTCAACAACTGTTGTTCAGTAGTTAATGGCAATCCTCTTCGATCTAGATGCTTAATTTCGTCGTCAATACGGTTTAAAATACGAACAAATCAAGATTTAGAAAATCTATACCGAATTCAAAATTCGTCTTCGAAATATCTACAGATTTCTAAACAGAGCCGGCCCTACCATAGGGCGAACTGAGCAGCCGCTCCAGGCGCTAAGTCCTAGGGGGCGCCTCAGTGGTAAAGAAAATTAAAGGAAAAAATATTTTTTTCACTTTTCGATATTTTAATTGCAAGCATGTGGCCAGTATATGAATGGCCTTATCTGTTGAGACGCGCGTGGGCGGGGTTCCACCCCCGCCTAGGTTACAGGCAGGGATGCCACCTGCGGTGACAACTCTGCTGGCACCGCAGGCACCGCTGTTTTAGTTGGCGAGTCCACTTCGAAGCGCCGGCACGAATCCAACCAGAATCTCCATATTAGAAAAAGCCTAACTGAACCAATCTCTAGCCGAGTACAGTGGGACTGATTTCTTCGAAATATTAGATGTAATAAAGACAGACATTTTTCCAGTTCGACGAGAGTGACCGAAAAGTTGTAAATTTTGGAAATTTCCGTGGACAACACCTGGTCCTAAAACGAATTAGTTAGAAAACAAACGAC